GGGGGGCCGCGCCCCCCCCCTCCCCCCCTCCCCCTCCCCCGCCTGCTTCCAGCACTCGGGCGTCAGCAACCCCTCCCACAGCCTTTGTTCAGTTTCCCGGGCCAAGGTATCACCTGGCCTTCAACCCCTTCCTGGGTTCTCATGTTACACGCTCAGGTATGCGCCTTCGGGCAGATTATCCCAGCCACACTCCCCTGTCAGCATTCACAGACCACAGTAAGAACAGTCCCAGTTCATCACAGGTGCAAAAATCACTATGTGGGAATTAGCAAATGTAATTTAAAAAAAAAAAAATCTTTGGCCAGCCCTAGTCAAAGGATTTATTACAGTTCTTGCTTATGTGGATTCTCTGATGTCTGATAAGGTGTGAGCGCTGACTGAAGCTTTCTCCGCACTCAGTGCATGTGTAGGGCATCTCTCCTGTGTGGATTCTCTGATGTATGATAAGGTTTGAGCTCCGATTGAAGCTTTTCCCACACTCGTAGCATGTGTAGGGCTTCTCTCCTGTGTGGATTCTCTGATGGGTGATAAGGGTAGAGCTCTTACTGAAGCTTTTCCCGCACTCAGAGCATGTGTAGGGCCTCTCTCCTGTGTGGATTCTCCTATGTGTGCTCAGGGCAGAGCTGTGACTGAAGCTTTTCCCGCACTCAGAGCATCCATACGGTTTTTCACCTGTGTGGATTCTCCAATGTTTGCTAAGGGCAGAGCTGTGATTGAAGCTTTTCCCACACTCGGAGCATGTGTAGGGCCTCTCTCCTGTATGGATTCTCTGATGTGTGATAAGGGAAGAGCTGTGACTGAAGCTTTTCCCGCACTCAGAGCATCCATACGGTTTCTCACCTGTGTGGATTCTCCTATGTGAGATAAGGTTTGAGCTCAGCCTGAAGCTTTTCCTGCACTCAGAGCATGTGTAGGGCGTCTCTCCTGTGTGGATTCTGTAATGTCTGATAAGGGTTGAGCTCCGACTGAAGCTTTTCCCACACTCAGAGCATGTGTAGGGCGTCTCTCCCGTGTGGATTCGCTGATGTAAGATGAGGGCAGAGCTCCGACTGAAGCTTTTCTTGCACTCAGAGCATGTGTAGGGTGTCTTTCCTGTGTGGATTCGCTGATGTGAGATGAAGGTTGAACTATCAATGAAGCGTTTCCCACACTCAGAGCAACCATAAGGTTTCTCACCCATGTGGATTCTCCTATGTGCGATCAGGGCAGAGCTCCGACTGAAGCTTTTACCACACTCGGAGCATGTGTAGGGCGTCTCTCCCGTGTGGATTCTCTGATGTCTGATAAGGGTAGAGCTCCGACTGAAACTTTTCCGGCACTCAGAGCATGTGTAGAGCATCTCTCCTGTGTGGATTCTCTGATGTGTGATAAGGTTTGAGCGCCGACTGAAGTTTTTCCCGCACTCAGAGCACGTATAAGGCGTCTCTCCTGTGTGGATTCTCTGATGTGTGATAAGGTTAGAGCTCCTATTAAAGCATTTCCCACACTCAGAGCATCTATATGGTTTCTCACCTGTGTGGATTCTACTGTGTGTGCTCGGGGCAGAGCTCTGATTGAAGGTTTTCCCACCCTCAGAGCATGTGTGGGGCGCTTCTCCTGTGTGGATTCGCTGATGTGAGATGAGGGTTGAACTATTAATGAAGCGTTTCCCACACTCAGAGCATCCATAAGGTTTCTCACCCGTGTAGATTGTCTGATGTGTGATAAGGGCAGAGTTCCCATTGAAGATTTTCCCGTACTCAGGGCACGTGTAGCATGTCTCTTCCAAGTTGATTCTGTCATGTATTAAAAGGTCTGAGTGGGTACTGAAGTTTTCCTCTGGCCTTTCCTGAATCTCACAGGCTTTTGCTTTTTCTCGGAGTGCACAACTCCCGGAAACATTCCCTTTGGATTTTCCTGATAACATCCCATGTAGTTCTACTTGCTCAGTATCTTCCCGCTGGAGTTTCTCCTCATTCTCACTCACCATCCCATCACCTGAATGGGAGACAAAAAGAATCCAGACATAGATCACTCCCTGCACCAGAAAGAAAGGAAATCTCAGAGAGAGGAACAACCGAAAATATGTGTGGGAGAGATCAAAACTATCAGGAGCTGATTTTCCCCAAACAACCCTTCCACAGAGGAGAGAGGAAGGGATCAGTTTTGGTCTGCATCTCACCAGAACACTCAGAGAAAAGCGAGACTGGAGAGGGATCTGCTGCCAGTTGTCAGTCAGAATAGGAGGGAAGCCAACAGTGACATCTGCCATAATGATTCCACATCTGCAGGGAACAATCCTAAACTTGGAGAGCTCACAGGGTCTTTGTAAGGCATCCCAAATGTTTTTTGCATTCCCAAACAGTTGTTGAGTGGTTTAACCAATTTCTCACCTCTCAGGAGCACTTCTTTCTCAGAGCCCTGGAGGTCTGGGATCCATGGCTCTTCCCCTCGTTCTAGCTGCGAGATCACATCAGGTTTGGAAACTGGAAACCCTACTACAGGCAAAGAAAACAAGGGAGGTCAGTGGAATTAGTGGAATACTTGGCACAAAGAATATTCCATGGTTTTAACCCCAGCTCATTTTTAAGCAGTAACATCCCAAGGCCAGCTTCCTTAGCTCAAAGTGGCAGGAGAGTTATTATTATAATCATATTCATTACCTTAGTGCCTCAGGCCAACTAACAGTGGGTCCCCATTGTGCTAGGCAAAGTACAAACCCAGAATAGAAGATGGCCCATGCCCTGAAGAATTTACAATCTAACTAGACAAGACGTACACAGAATGGGGGAAGGGGTAGAACTCACTGTTAGAATAGAGATATTCAGGCCTGCCTGTAAAGCCTGTACTTTAAGAACTTAGGTGTATTTTTATCACTTAGCTAGTTACAGGCGTATAAAAACAAAGAATCAAAATCACAGTCCGCCTGTGTCTGGGCCTTGTCTCATTAGGAGAGTCTAAAGCCTTGTTCTCAGGCTAAGGCCTTTGGCTAAGCAGCAGGGGCAGCCATAAGCTGGGAAGTGTAGGGTCACATCCTCACATGCCAAACCAATCACACTGAACTAAGGTGGTATTGGGCTGTTAGGAAGACAATCCTGTCCCGATAGCGCCCATCACCACCTGATAAAGAAACAGACCTTAAGATGGTTAAAGAAAACTTAGTTTGATAGCATCCTGTCTGGCAAGAAATCACTTATCAATGGTTGTGAAACCCTCATTTCCGTATTGTTTTATCTTTATGGCCACCACTTTTACATTGTCAATCAGTCTGGTTCTCTCATTTTTTCTGTCTGCTGTATAATTAATTTTGCTAGGTGTAAGTTAATTAGGGTACTGGGATATATTGGTTAGAAAATTATATTACAATATGTTAGAATTCGTTAGTTAAATTTCAGTACAATGACTGGTTAAGGTATAGCTGAGAGTATTATTATATAAACAGGGTCAAACAGGAGGGGGAAGGGAAATTGGAATCATGTTTGTTAAGTGGGGGAAAGGGAACAGGGAGTGGGGACACAGGCAAGACTCTGTGGCATCAGAGCTGGGAAGGGGGATACGAGGAAAACGCTCTGCGGCATCAGAGCTGGGAAGGGAACACTGGGGAACAGACTCTATCGCGTATAGAGATAAGCCCGACTGGTGTGAAGGGCTTCGGAATATGCCTGCTTGGAAACTAACCCCAATAAACATGGCATTCTCTGCACTTCAGACTTCTGGTCTTCTGCTGCTTGCTGTCTGCATGACAAGAACCAGGGAGGGTGAAAGGAAAGCCCTGTAACAAAACTGACATGACCTGATAAGCAACAGGTAAGCCTTTAAGGAAGGTTTTAATACACTTTGGAACTGATCAGGGATTCCCACGAGGACTGATGAGGGGGCGATGGTAAATACACATTTAGATCCTTTTCTTGTTTTATATCTTTTCCACAGAAGGCGCACTGGCACATTGTCATGGACCCATAGGATCTGTGCAATGCCCTGGCTTTTAAGCAGTCCTTGGGAGGTTCCCCTTGAGTTCACTAGACCTCCAAGGGGTCCCACTCTCTTCCACAAGGATAGGCCACGTAGCTTCAACACCTGAGACTGAGCCTGTTTGTTAGTCTCTAAGGTGCCACAAGTACTCCTGTTCTTCTTTTTACGGATACAGACTAACACGGCTGCTACTCTGAAACCTGTCATTCATATATTGAATTATTAATAAAAAAGTGAAGTAAATCATGACTATTAATGCTTGATTCATAATTATGGACTTCCCAAAGGCCACATATGGTTTGGGGCAGCTATTGACATTATTGTAATCAGAGTAAAGGAGCAGATATGGTATATAGCCATCCTATTACCCTAAGAAAGCGGATAAAATACCTCTCCTAGTTAGCATTTTTTCATTTTGTCGGGTCCCCGAGTCAGTGTAAACTGAAGGACGGCCTACCTTCTGATGGTCACCCTTGCCCCTCCATCTTTGTTTCCAATCGTGTCCATAATTTGTAAGTACGCAGAGTGCAAGACCCTCTTTACTGTACTTATCTTAATCTAATTGTTATGTGTATTGATTTTTGCCTATGATTTCATTTATAACTGTCTGTATTAAATCAAGTTCAGTGTGTTTCACCAAATTTCATCTCCTCCATTAACTTTGAGTAGCCATCTGCAAGGACAAGTTGTACCCCAACATGTAATCTTATAGGTGTAAAAAGTGTACAGGCTACACTACCACCCTGTGACATTATCAACCAAGTCCCCATTTGTGCCTGGGTAGGGGTCCTGGTACGGGTCCTGGTACGGAAGGGAGGAATGCATCAAGGACTCAGGATGCTTGGCCAGGGTGGCTGTGCATAGAGATGGGAAGGTTATATGGGGAGAGGGGTAATGAGTGGGAGAGGGAGGTCAAGAGTTAAAATAATAATATTTGGGGGGGGGAAATGTACAATTAAGTGAAACTGAACAGAAATAAAACTGTAATGTAGGCTCTAAAGCAACAAGGCTTGGATAGGGATTCGGGGTTAAAGGTTTGGGATCCCCCAAGCTCTGGATCCCCAAACCTCTCCTCCCTCCAACTAACCCACCCAGTCCACTTCCTGGGTGCCCTTCCTACACCCTCCCCTCCCCTTCGTCCCATTACTCTCAGCCAGCACCACCTCCCAGCACCTTGGGAACTTCTCGTGTTCCCTTCTCGTCTCTCACTACCTCATCCCTCCCTGCTGCTTCTTACCTCTAATCCTATACACACCCTCCCCATGTCCTGGCACCCCAGAATTATCTACCCCCCCTTCTCCTCCCCTCCCACAGCTCTCTTCTCCCTTCACCTGTGGGGTCCTGAATGGCAACATTATACGCTCTCCTTTCAAAAGAGGAGCTCATCTGACTGTCACACAAGCCATGCATGAGTCCTACACTATTTACTTAATTTAGAATTCTACAGGCAGCGTAGTTTCCTCTTAAAATGAGGAAAAGGCATGAAAGCTACAGTTATTAATGTAGATATTAATGTATCCAATAATGATACATTAAACGCAATTTTAAAATGACCGATAACACCAAAAAGGCACATGTCCAAAAATTATACTAGTGGGTGGGAGATAAGGCAAAAAAAGGGGGGTAGGAAACCTGTGGGACCTCGTATACCCTGTAGGCCTAGAAAGTAACCCCGAG